TCACAGACAAATCTGAGCCCTGCCTTACACTCAAGTGATTACAGATGACAGGTAGAGGAAAGGAGAGGAGGAGCCAAAGGAACTAGTCACCCCTCTGCTTTTCCTGATGACATAAAGATGTTGACCAAAATATCACGATGTGCTTTATGCTCTATGGATTCTGTCCCTCGTGGACATCTTGAAAATTCTGATTTATCAAATGATGCAACATTGTTGTGCAGCCCCATAGGATAGTTAACAGCTGCTAGCTGGAATGAACACATCTTGGTAGGGACTGGAAGGTGAAATTAGTAAAGAGTTGTTTCTGTATTGCTCATACACTTCATGTATTTGGCAAAGGATTGGACATCAGTAATTGGACAGTCCTTCAAGGGAGAAACCAGCTACACAGTGACCGGAGGCATGACCAATGCCCTGACACTTGGAGTCCATCCGGAGGCTCTGGGGTTACTGAAGAAGGAATGCCTAAGTATCCCAAGGGAGGTGACAGTTCTGGGAAGACTTCATGGAGTAGCTGATAAATATTTAAGCCTTTCAGGATGAAGGATATAGTTGAAAGGGCTGAGAGAAGGGCAGGTTAGGCAGAGGGACACACATACAAAAGGGAAGAGGCCATCACTGGAATGGCAGTGTGCTCTTCCTGGTTTGTGGCCAATTTGTCTTTGGGGAAGTCATGAAAAGTAGGTCTGGAATCAACAAGGGACAATCAAGCTGTGCATCCTGAGATTTCTAGGCTTTTTCTATGGGTCATGGCCATTCTTGAAGGATTTTGAGTGCAGAAGTGTTGTAGGAAGATCAAGTAGTCTGCATCATGTAGACCTGTTTGAAGAAAGGCTTTTACAGTCTGCCAGATGAGAGATCATAAGGACTTGAACTAAGAGAGGAGCTCTGAGGGTACAGAAAGGAACATACCTGTGAGTTTTGGTGAATATACAATCAACAGGATCTGCTGTAGTTTCATTTATGGGCCTGAAGAGAGAGCAGTATGGCTTTCCTGTTTCTGGCTTGAATGCCGATATGGGCAGTGGTGGCATTTTCAGGTATCAGAATTATACAAGGAACAGATTTAGGTGGATGGGTGGGAAAAAAGGCAAATCAGTCAATTCTGCTTTCATATATTGCAATTGATGTGCCAAGATGGAAATGTCCAGAAGGCAGATAGGCACTTTAGCTACAAATGAGTATCATACATGGAGATAGGAGGAAGTACTTTACTGTAATTCTCAAGTAACTTCAAATGGGATCACCAGAGAGGAGGATGGGAGGGCATGTGTGAAGTACATGCCAACATTAGGAGTGAGAGAGGAGGACAAGTGATAATAGAAATCAATAGACAGTAAGTGCCAAGTAGGACATATTAGGGACATAAAGCAGCTGCTAAGAAGTTACTTTGGGGAGGGGATTTAGCTCTCTGGTTTCATAGACTGCTGTCCAAGTGCAAGGACCCAAGTTTGATCCCTTGTACTCCTCCCCCCAAAAAGAAGTTACTTTGGGGAAAAAAAAGACCTCTTGAATCTGAGTGCTAATAGATAACTTGAATCTGAGTGATAACAGATAACTTGAGGGCTTTTTCTATGCTAGTCCAAAGCACAAAAATGAGTAAATATTACCTGCCTTGCAATGAAGGCCAGTATGTACATAGATAAGATTATAGATCAGTTTTGTAATTCCTCTACTTGAGACATACACAAAGCACAAAGGGAACACAGTTCAGTTTGCTCCTTATGATAAGAGTAATAAATGTTAATTGTAGAAAAAACAGAAAATACAGAAAAACAAAGAAAATGTACATAACTCATCATTCTACAATGCAGACACATAACATTTCAATATATATTTTATAAAAAACCCAAATTTTTTTAACAAAATTAAATAAAAATGCACATTACATTTTTACTTTATTATTTATATAATACTATGTATGTTCTTAAAAATCTGCTTTAGTCTGATTTCTGTTGTTACAGTGAAATGCCTGATAATGATTACTTGTAAAGAAATGAGGTTTACTTAATTGACAATTTTGGAGGCTGAAAGTCCAAATAGCATGAGTCCAACTCTAGTGAGGGCCCCTGGATACATCACTTCCTGGCAGATGGCATCATGGTGGGAGTGAGTGTGGCACAGGGAGACCACAAGGCCAGACTGGAAGCCAAGCAAGGGAGAGACCTCTCCTCTTTTCAACATTGCCTCACTAAGGCCCAAGCTCTCAACATGTAAACCTGGGGAAAACATTCCAATAATATTGGAATCAGTTTTTATTTTTATTAATCCATGTTTTCAATGCATAAAGGTCACATTCCTCATGAAGAGTTGACACACGTACAAAACACATCTCAATTTCCTTCATCCCCTTTCTTCCTTCCGTCCTCCATCTCTTGGTCCTCTGCAAAAGGTTTATCTCCTTACTTCCTATTATCTATATTTTATTTTGTTCTTTATATTTTAGGTTTCCTATATAAGAGAAACTATGTGATATTTAAGATTGTTTGTCTCTGTTTCTTTTACTTAACATTATGTTCTGCAGGTGCATCCATTTTCCTGCAAATTATTCAAGTACACCCTTTATGTCAGAGTAGTAATCTATTCCAAAGAAAATACCATATATTCTTTATCCATTTATCTGTTGATGGACATATAGGCTACTTCGAAGATTTAGCTATTGTTAATTGTGCTGCTGTAAACATGGATATACATGTGTCCCTGTAATATTTGTGTTTAACTATTTCAGGAAAATAACTAGAAAGTGAATAACTGGACTGAATGAAATTTCTATTTTTAGTTTTTTTAGAAATCTCTATACTGATTTCCATAGTGGTTGTACTAGTTTATATTACCACCAGCAGTGGAGAAGGGTTTCTTTTTTACCCACACCCTCACCAGCATCTGGTATTGTTTGATTTCTTGATGATGGCCATTCTTTCTATAAGTAATATGGGATCTCAGTATTGTTTTAATTTTCATTTCTGTAATGGCAAGAGATGTTGAACATTTTTTCCATGTATTTATTGGCCATTTTTATTTCTTCTTTTGTGAACTGTCTGTTAATTTGAGTTGCCAATTGTTTGATTAGGTCTTTCATTTTGAGAGGATCAAATTTTAATTTTGGGACATTGTAATATGTCCTAGATATGAGTCCTCTGAGGAATAGCTGGTGAATTGTTTTCCCATTCTGTGGGTTGTCTCTTCTCTCTGTTGGTTGTTTCCTTTGCTATGCAGAAGATTTTTAATTTGATATGATTTCATTTGGTAATTCTTCCTGTTATTTCTTGTGCAATTGGGGTTCTGTTCAGAAAGTCCTTGCCTACATCTATGTCTCAAAAAGTTGTACATATTTTATCCTTCAACAGATTGTTTCTGTTTTAGCATTTACAGCCTTGATCCATTTTTACTTTAGTTTAGTACATGGTTAGATACATGTGTCTAGATTAAATCTGTGTGTGGATTGCCAATTTTCCCATTACCATTTACTAGAGAGACTGTCTTTCCTCCAGTGTATGTTTATGGCTTTTATTTCAAAGATCAGATAGTTGACTATGCCTGGGGGTGTTTCTGCATCTTCTATTCTGTTCCACTGACCCATGTTTCTGTTTTTGTGTCAGCACCATGCTATTTTGATAATGGTAGCTTTGTAATATATCTTTATATCCAGGATTGTGATGCCTCCTGCCTTGCTCTTGTTACCCAGAATTGCTTTTTCTATTCTGGGTTTCCTCTGGTTCCAAATAAATTTTAGGATTATTTCCCTAGTTCTGTGAGGAATGCTATTGGTATTTGGATTGGGATTGTGTTAAATCTGTATATAAGTTTTGGAAGTATGTCCTTTTTGACAATAGGTTGTGTCTATCTAGGAACAGGGTATCTTTCCATTTTCTGATGTTCTCTTTGATTTCCTTTTTCATAGTAGTGTAGTTTTTACAGGTCTTTTACTTCCTTGGTTACATGAATTCCTAAGTTTTTACTTTTTTTTTTCTGGTACCAGAGATCAAACTCAGGACCTTGTAATTGCAAGGCAGGCACAGTGCCACTGAGCTAAATCCCCACCCTGGTTTTTATTTTTTCTTGATGCTATTGTAAACGGTATTTTTTCCTAGTTTCTTTCTCAATACATTCATTATTAGGGTAGAAGAACACTAATGATTTTTTTGTGTTGATGTGGGATTCTGCTACATTGCTTCATTTGGTTATTTTAGAAGTCTTTTGGAGGAGTTTTATTGGGTCTTCTATGTAGATGATCGTGAATGGTAATTTGACTTATTTCTTTACTGTGCACATCCCTTTTTTTTTATTCTAATGTTTGATTGCTCTGGCTAATGTTTTGAGTATTATATTAAACAGGAGTGATGATGGTCAACATCTTTGTCTTATTCTTATTTTAGAAGAAAAGCTTTCAGTTTTTCCCCATTTAATATGATGTTGGCAGTAGGCTTGTCATATATGCCTTTAATCAGATTGAGATATGGTCCTTCTCTACCTATTTTCTTCAGGGTTGTTATCATGAATACATGTAGGATTTTGTCAAAGAGTTTTTCTTTGTCTATTGAGATGATCATATGATTTTTGTCCTTGATTCTGTTCATGGGATGTATTACATTTATTGATTTGTATATATTGAAACATCCTTGCATTCCTGGGTTGAAGTCTACTTCATCATTGTGTATGATCTTTTTTTATTTTTGGTACCAGGGATTGAACTTGGGACCTTGAGCTTGCGAGGCAGGTGTCGGGCCAGAACCACCGAGCTAAATCACCAGCCCTGTGTATGATCTTTTTGGTGATATGTTGAATTCTGTTTGTCAGTATCCTGTTGATGATTGGGGGGGTGAGAAAAGGTCTTGCCATGTAGTCCAGGTTGGCTTTGAACTCAGTATGTAGCCCAGGCTGTCCTCGGACTCATGGCAATCCTCCTGCCTCAGCCTCTCCAGTGCCAGGATTATAGGTGTGCACCACCACACCCAGCTCTGCTGAGAATTTTTGCATCCACATTCCTTAAAAAGATTGATCCCTTTTTTGGTTGAGATCCTTGGCTGGATTTGGAATGTGGGTAATGGTAGTTCTAGGAATGACTTCCCTTTCAATTTCATTAGAGTTTAAAGAGGCCATGAGATCCTCTCTGAAGTTCTTGTGGAGTTCAGCAGTGACTCTATCAGGATCTGGGCTTTTCTTAGCTGGTACTCTTTTTCATTATTATTGCTGCTTCAATTTCACTGTTCACTATTAAATTATTCAGGGCTTGTAAATTTTGGCTAAGTTTTGGTAATTAAATATATTTAAGAATCTAGCCAGGAGAGTAGCTGGGATTGCAGGAGTGTGCCACTGGCATGTCTGAGATTTTGTTACTAATAGGAGTCACCAAGATGCCAGAAGAAGCCTGGTGTCCCAGGACCATGAGCATTGCTTTCTGCATGCTCCAAACACTGTCAACTGGAGTCGGCTCCCTGAATGACTGGACCTGCACTGCTGCTTGCTCAGGTGCTGGACAATCACCCCAAAGCATGCCACCCTGGTGAGGGTCTGATGGTTGTGCTGCTGGTTTCTAAATGTGGGGATGTGAGTTAGTGACAAAACAGTATGAAATCCCTGAAATGGATAAAGTCAGTGAGATTGAACAAAACCTGGGCAGGAGGGTGAAAGGAGAGAAGCAGCATACTTCAGGAAGCACATGCTAACTATCAGTTTCTGAAAATGAATTTCAGTCCTCTACACAACATGGCTCCTTTCAGCCTGCATCAAGAAGATGTGCTGGAGGGAGCAGACACGGAGAACAAGAATGTATATTTTACTTAAAACAATAAAACTACAGGACTATAGAATTGGGGCCATCACACTGCTTAGTGTGCTTAGTGGATTGAGTTGTGCTAATTAATCACTGAGCGTTTCTTTGGGGTGGGTTTCCTTAGAGGTGGGAAGAATTTTCTTGGCTGGGGTTGCTCATGGGCTGCTGTCAATCTCCTCCCCACACATGAGAGGACTCTTTTCTGGAGCCAGCAGAAGGCTTGCCTCCAGTTCACACAGGTTGTGGTTTGTGTGTCAGATCCAGTGTCATCCTCCTCTGACTCCCCCAGGGAGACTGAGGAGGACTCCTTGGTCCTGGTCTTTAGCATCTGCTGAGAAAAGGAGGGTGAGTTAGACAAGTGCAACCTCCCAGCAGTGCAGCCAGTGTTGACTCATTTATGGAACTCAGTTCCTTTTACTACAAATAGCCCAACCATAAATGGCCAGTTTCAAAGTCAACACTGAAGCACAGAGGCTATCACAAAACTGTTTTCTTTTTGTTGTTGTTTGTTTGTTTGTTGGCATAATGATTCACCTTTGTCTTTCTTCCTACCCTCCATCTCTCTCCCAGTGGTCCTTGGTGTTTTCTCTATATCTCCTCCCTGACTCCTTTCCTTTCTGACCTCCTCCCCCTGTGCATTCTGCCAGACACCTGGGGTCCAGCCCTGCTTCCCAGAAGGTAGTGTTGCCCCTATGCTGTCCCTGTCCAACCTAGCACCTTCACTGGGTCTGTCCATCCTCTCCTGAGAGGGAGTTCTGTGCTCACCTCAGCAGGTTCATCTTCCGGGAGCATTGCCGGCATCTCTGGGACTTGGGTGACTTGTGTATTTTCTGGTGGTTTGCATGTGGGCAGGTCCTCACATGCATGGTGTTCTTCACATGGGACCTGAGCTGGATGAGGAGGGGAGCTGCTGCCCAGCTGGAAGTTTTCCTCAGGTGGTTCTCAGAGTTGGAGGGTGTTGTCTTTGTCAAAGTCATGGCTTTGTTTATCATTGTCCTGAGGGTCTTCATTGTTTTGGATGTTTTTCTTCTCCAAGTAGGTCTCATTGTGCTGTATTTCCATCATCCTCACTGGAATCAGGAAGCCTGGTATCATCAGATCTTTCATACACCTGTTTGTAAAGCTCCACATACTCTTTTTCATTACTCTGGGTGTCTTTGTTGTTCTTGATCTTCATGTCCTCTTTTTCTTTTTCAGTTGATCCCATTAGCATGCCTTCATCTTGGTCTTTGCAGTTTTCACTTAGTTTATTTGCTTCCTCATGTTCATCTCCATAGCTTTCATTTTCCTCCTTTCTCTCCTCATTGTTACTATCTTCTGTTGCTTGTTCCTCAGTGGGTTTGGGACTGAGAAGCTGAATTACTGGCCAGCCATCCACAGGATCAATACATGGCCCTCTGTATGTTAAATTCTTATTTTTCCACTGGTTGTTGGTTGTGACAATTTGATCAGCTCCTGTGCCTTTGCTATCTGAATCTGTCTCCTCATCCTCTTCCACATCAGGATAAATCTGTATACACACCTGGTTTGGGTAGTCCTCAGTGGTGGGTGTCAGAGTTGTTGTCAATACATCTTCCTAGACTTTGTGAGTCCTCTGGTCCTTCCACAACAGGGAGGCCATTGACTGTCTCCTGGTGACAGACATAACTTTTGAAGAAGGTTTTTGTCTCTTTGTGGAAAGTGTGGGAATCAGGGAGATCACTGCCTGTGAGGCTCTCTGTGGAATTTATTTTCATATGGGACTGCTCTGAGTCTGAGCAGTCACTGCTGGGGTTTGGGGTTGCCATGAAATTATAGTTGTATTCTGTCTCTGTCAAGTCCTGAGGCTTCAGAAGAAGAAAATAAAGAAAAGATGTTGGGGAGAAAACAGTCATATACTTAAGTAATAAAAGAAGAGTAACCGGTCAGGCAAACACACACACACACACACACACACACACTTTCCCAGTCACTTTCAGGCAAACACACACACACACACACACACGCTTTCCCAGTCACTTTCCCAGTCTGGTGAGCTGTGCCCTCATGGCTGCTCACCTGAAAGATAAGCTCTCTCAATCTCCAGTCCTGACAAGCAGACGTGAGAAATCCTTCAGAGGTTGAATCTCTGTGGCCAAGTGAAAACATAAGTCTGTGTTCTAGGACCGGTGATTGCCATGAGAATATCAGAACTGAGTCATAATGAGAGACAGGAAAATGAGGAAAGAGGGGCAGGTGCCTGCAAGGTCTATCACTTTCCTCTAAAATATTCTGTATGTACACCATTCAGGCTAAAGAACACTTTTTTTGTTGGCAGAAGCATGAATATCATGGGAGTCGCTTCCTTCTTTTATTTTGGAGTCTAAGATGATCCATGTATCAGGGAATTCACAGCCTCTTTGGGGAGATACAAATCAAGTGAATTGAAATAATCCAGGATGTACTTGCATCAGAAGAGCTTACAAACAATATAATGAGAGGGCTTAGAAGGACACCTCATGCAGGCAGGCTGGCAGTGGGTAGGAGACCAGGAGTAAGCTCCTGGGGTGAGGCCTTGGATTGGGCCAGTTATGGAGGAAGTAGAAGGGAGGCAGGCATGGTGGCACAGGCCTATAATGTCAGCTTTTGAGGGGATGAGGAAGAAGGATGGGTAAGTTCAGGCCTGCCTAGACCATGTAGGGAGACCTAGGCTCAAAACAAAACCAAATAACACAAAAGAGAAGAGGTAGTAGGCATGTGGAGGAACCCCTTCTTGTATCCATTAATTTCAGGCCCGTCTGTCATTGTATTTCTGTATGTCAGACCTATGGAGGTAAGTTCAACATACAGTATGTTGGAGTCTTATGATAGTCCATACCAAATTGCTTTCCAGAAAGCTTATTTCCATTTACATGGTCATCATCCCACCTGCTAATGGCACACTTAGCTTACATTTTCCCATGATCCTCCAGATATTAAGTGGGTGTGGGAGAGCATGTGGTGGCCACACACACTCCCAGAGTGCAGTGCCCCACCCTAGTGGCTGCCTACCTGATAGATAAGCTCTAAAAGTCTTCAGTTGTGAACAGGTAATGTGATTAGTACTTCAGAGTTTTGAGTCTCTGTGGCCAAGAGAACACATAAGAATTTGCTCTATGACTATGGGTTACCATGGCAACATCAGAACCCAGTTATAACAGAAGATGGGAAAGTGGAAAAAGGGTTAGAAGACTGAAGGATCTATGCTCATGTTTCCAAATCACTCTGCACAGACATGCAGGATAAAGACTGTTTCTCTTGTTGGCAGAAGCATGAATGCCATGGGGGTGGCTTTAGCCTAAGACAATCTATGTCGTGGTAAATTTAGAGCTTCTTTGAAGAGCTAGCAATCAAGGGACTGACTAGTAGAGGACAGGGTGTAAGTGTAGCAGAACTCACAAATAATGTCATGAGAGGACATAGATGGGGACTTCATGCAGCCAGCCTGGGAGTGGAGAGGAGAGCAGGACTAACCTGGGAGACAGATGCCTTCCAATGGGACAGCTTTTGGAGGAAGGGCCTGAGTTTTGACTCAGTCGTTCCGCTGCCTACCTTTCAATGCAGGGTCCTGAGTTGGATCCCTCACACCAAAAAACAAAGAAACAAAAACGCAAAAGCTTATGGAGGAAGTGGTAAAGATACAGACACAGGGGCACACACCTATGATCTCCCTACTTGGGAAGCTGAGGAGGGAGGATTGTGAGTTCCAGACTGACCTGGTCTACACAGAAAGATCTGGCCTCAGGGGAAAACAACAGAGGTTATAGGGGATATAGGAAAAAGAACTCCCTACCTGTGAGATATCAGATGTCCTATGTTTGTGTCCCCCAAAATCAACGAATTAATTTCAAGGAACAACAGAGGTTAAGAATAAGAAAGGTCTATTGGGAGATAGGAGGGGTCTCAAGTGGGTAACCATTGAGCTCTTTTGTCATGGGAAATTTATACAGCAAGGTCACAGCATGGGTACAACATGGGTGAAACTGTAATCAACCTATATGATTACAAGTATAGCTGCTTAGCTAATATTGATGTAATAGGGAAACAAATCACCTAGAAAGGGTACATGGAAAGAATAAAAGAGATGGGTGTGGTGGCACATGCTTGTAATCTCAATACTCAGGAGGCTGAAGCAGGAGGACCACCATGAGTTCCAGACAACCCTGGGCTACATAGTGAGTTTAGGGCTAGCCTGAACTACAAAGCAGGACCCTGCCTCAAAAAGCCAAAACATCAACCAACCAACCAAACAAACAAACAAACTAACAAACAAAATTGTTTAAAGAAAAAAAAGAAAAGAAGAAAAGCATGTTTGGGGAAGGATGGTTCCAGATGCTCTGGTCACCCATCCAGTCAACTGATACCTATCTGGACTCACTGGATGAGGTGGTACTAATTACAGAATAATTCCAAGGTACAGTTTATACCTTAGGGAGGCATGCAGGCCTGGAAATTGCATCTATGTCTTGAGGCCTATCCTTTTTCAGAGGTTCCTCCATCCACAATTTTGATGTCTTTCTTTTCCCTTTTTTCTTTTTCTTTTTTGGTTTGGGACTGGGGACCAAACTCAGGCCCTTGTGCTTGCAAGGCAAGTGGCAGAGCCACTGAGCTAAACCCCCAGCCCTCCCTGACTTTCTTGAGAGCTCTGTCCCTCTCCGACTGTATATTTCTTTCCACCCAACTTAGGTTCCTGTGATATAGGCATGTAGGGGAGGGTACAGTTTAAGCAAGAATGCTCAGGTAAGAAACCTGTTGTGGGGCCAGGGATTTAGCTCAGTGGTTTAGCTCAGTGATTTTGCCTCCTGCTGTGCAAGTGCAAGTACCCAAGTTCCCAAGTACCAAAAAAACAAAAAAACAAAAAAATAAAAACCTGTTGTGTGGGGTGATCAAGTGCAGGAGTGGAGTCAGTGAGGGTCTGGTAGGCCTCTCTCTGCCAGTGGTGAGGAACATGGATTTTTGCCACTCATCCAGCAAGGATAGTCAAATTCATGTGTCAAGCATCCTCACAGACATTTCAGAGTATGCTGAAATGTTTCACATGATTGAAAACCCCAAGTCCAATTTCCTTAAGTGCATGGACCTTACTGCTTGGCTCCAATGAGTGTGGGGTCTGTGGGTTTGTAACAGAGGAACCAGGCTGCCCTGGGTGGAAGAAGGATTTAGGGTAGAGGGGACAGCGTGTTGGCTGCACTTTGGAACTTCACTGGTGAGAAAGTATGGAGGGCAAGAGTGTCATGGGGAAGTTCTTGTACCCATCCTTCAGGGTTCCAGCTCTCTCCTCATTGTGAAACCAGGATAAACTCAAGAAACGCCCCCTCATGCCCTTCCTCTTATAAAATAGATGTTTTTGTAACTGCTTGTTCTGCTTCTGTAAACTTGCTTCATTGCTTCTCAGAAAGAGATGGTGCCTGGTGCCTCGCTTTACTGTAAATTGCCCTAATCTTATAAGACAGCAAGATAGCTGAGTTGTGAAAAAATACTTTTGCAACTAGTCAAAAACATGTTAATCTACCCTTGAACTTCTCTTCTTAAAATAACACCTACAAAAGCTATGCTGTTATAACACCCTATATAAACTGTGCTGTCCCTGGACTCAGGGCTTCACTTCACTTAGGGAGTGGAGTCCACACATGTGAATAAACTCCTTTCAGTTTTAACTTTGTCATTTGTCCCAGTGTTTGGTGATTTACCAGCTCATTTGGTACAACATTCTTGGAGGCCCCAGCGAGATATCACCATCATTCAGTGACTTCTGTCCAGTGGATTGCCCCTGTCTCAGGCTGCTGCAGCCTGAGAGAGGCCCAGGGAGGCCACCCTGACCATTTGATCAGGGCCCTGGGGGCTCAGATCTTGAGTGGAGGATTCAGGTCCTTCCAAACATACTGAGAGGAGTTTATCTGGAAAACCTCGGGGGGTCAGGTAAGAATCTTATGATTCTCAGTCATCAGTCAGTGGATCCAAAAGAGGGAAAAAGGGAAGTCATACGTGACAGTAATTCCCCTGCCCAGGGCTTCATTGTGACAATGGGAAGCTTTCTGGTCAGTTTACCCTGGGGTCTGGTTTGTATGCCTAAATATTTGTGGGTATAGTTTGTCTAAATTTCTATGTATCTGTTGTCTGTTGTCTGTCAGCTTGCTCTGTGTGCCTTTTGCTTTCAGTTTTGTTTTACACTGAGCCATAGGATCTGGATTGTCTACACTGTCAACCCCCCTTAAGTGTATTTTACAACATTTCTCACAAATTTATACCCTACAGAAAACAGATGAATATGACATCAAATTCTCAGAAGGAAAGCTCTGGACCCTGTGCCAATCAGAGTGGACATTGTTTGGGGTGGGATGGCCAAGTGTGGGAAGTTTTAACATTCAGACTACCTGACAGTTTTGGAATCAGGTTACAGGGAAGGGAGGGCCCAGTCACCCTGATCAGTTCCCTTATATTGATATGTAATTGGACCTGGTAAAAGACCCCCCTTTCCTCGCCTGTCTGGGAATTAGGTCATCTAGGTTTAGTAAAGATAAGGTCCATCATCATTTCCTCCAATGACAGACTTCTCAAGACTCGAGGAATGTTTTTGACACTAAGCCCTTTCAAAACATAAGGTCCTCATGACAAGGATGACTTCCAACCTCGTCTGCCCCCATATCAGGCCCAGGATTAAAAAAAAAACCTGAAAAAGATCCTGACTCCCCTTCTGCTTCGACCCCCACTAATCCCTCTGCCTCCCTGCCCACCTGACCCCCTGTCTCCCCCTCATACCCAATCCAGACAAACTTATAAGTCACAAGGGTCAACTAATCAGGTAACTTCCACAGTCCTTCCTTTAAAATAGGTCCAGCCAGATGGTGGATTTGTGTACATTCCTTTTACTACTAGTGACCTTCATAGTTAAAAAAATCAAGTTGCTCCTTTTTCAGAAAAACTCCAGGCTTTAATTAATCTTCTAGAGTCTGTTTTCCATACTCATCAGCCCTCCTGGGAGGACTGCCAACAGCTGCTCCACACCCTCTTCACTATGGAGGAATGGGACCAGATTTTCCAAGAGGCTGTTAAGGTGGCCCTAAAATTAAACCTAGACCTTGATCCCAGCACTCTGGCTTATCTGCAGAGAATAGAGGCTGAGGTGCTGACCTGCCGACCAGACTGGGACCCCAACAGTCCAATGCAGGTAGGAGAGATCTGGCCAGTTACTGCCAGCACCTTTTACAGGGACTCCACCAAGCAGCTAGGAAGCCGACTAATCTGACTAAGGTGTGTGAGGTAAAACAGAATAAGACGGAGTCCCCCTCAGCTTTCCTAGAGCACCTCCTAGAGGTGTATCAGGTCTGTACACCCATTAATCCTGATGCTCCAGAAAATGCAGCTGCTATAAATCTGGCTTTTGTGTCAGAGTTGGCCCCAGATATTAGAAAAAAACTTCAGATATTGGAAGGGTTTTGAGGGAAAAAACAGGTCTGAGCTCCTGAGTATAGCACAAAAGGTTTTTGACAACTAGGACTCCCTGGAAGACACAATTGCCAAGTGGCTAAAAAAGTTACTATTGCTGCTCTCAAAAGCTATGAGACAAGTAAACAGACTGGGAGATCTAAGCCAGAGAGAACCCCCGTGGCCTAAGCTCAGAAGGGACCAATGTGCCTATTGCAAACAGACTGGACATTGGAGAAATGAGTGCCGCCTCAAAGAAAAGAAAAACGAGGGACAGAAGCCACTACCTTAAACCCCACAACCCTGCTGCCTGCCTCAAACCTGATGACCCCACTACATGACTGTCAGGAGACCCAGGAGACCCTCAAGGACATAACCTTGACCAGACCTGATTTGTGGGATGTGCCCCTAAAAGACCCTGAAGAGGCATTCTTCAAGGATAAAAACAGCTTTGTCTAACAAGGGGTCAGGTATGTGGGGGCGGCAGTGGTGGATGGCCAGAGAGTGACAAGGTGGGCTGCTGCTCTGGGATCTGAAATTTCAGCCCAACAAAAAGAGCTGATGGCTCTTACTCAGGCCTTAAACCTGGGTAAAGGGAAGGTTGTCAACATCTACACAGACAGTCGGTATGCCTTTGCAACTGTACATATTCATGGAGAGATATATAAACAATGGGACCTGCTCACATCAGGAGGGAAAGACATCAAAAACAAACATGAGATTTTAGCTCTGCTAGAAACAGTATGGAAGCCTAAATCAGTGGCTATAATACACTGGAAGGGTCATCAGAGGCCTGACATACTGGAGGCCATAGGAAATCAAAAGGCTGATTTAGCTGCTAAATTGGCTGCCAGAAAACCAGTGGGGACAGCCCCCACCCTGCCCCTTAAAGCTTTTCTTGTGCTGCTGGCTATGCCACAGTATTCATCAAAAAAGGGAAAACCATACGCCCAGGTAGGGGCTGTGCAAGATAAAAATAGATGGTGGAGTCATCCCGATGGCCGGAGTTTGCTTGCCTCAAGCTCTTGGCCAACAGCTAATTCAACAGACACACCAGTTTACTCACCTAAAAAAAGAAACTCAGACAATTGATTAGTTCCAGGTTCTTAACTCCTAAGCTGGCTGCCATGGTCCAGGATGTTTGCACTCAGTGCCAGATATGCACTCAGTGCCAGACATGCACCCTGGTAAATGCCAAGACAATGCTTGGAGGTGAGGGAACCTGACGCTGAGGTAAACATCCAGGGGAATTTTGGAAATTGGATTTTACTGAAGTCAAGCCCAGCCGCGGATATAGGTACCTGTTGGTTTGGGAAGATACTTATTCTGGATGGGTAAAAGCTTTCCCGACTAAAGGAGAGACAGCTACAATAGTTAGTAAAAAGTTATTACAGGAGCTCATCCCCAGATTTGGCTTCCCCCATACTCTGGGGTCTGACAATGGCCCAGCCTTCACAGCCAAGATATTCCAATTGGTGGCCAAGGCCCTTAACATTGATTGAAAGCTTCATTGTGCCTGTCAGCCACAAAGTTCAGGGCAAATAAAAAAGATAAATCATACCTTAAAGAGGCATTAACTAAGTTTGTTTTAAAAACTGGAAAAACCTGGCCAGACCTCCTCCCGCTGTCCCTCTTGTGGGCTAGGTGCACTCCTTATATAAAAAAAGTTAACTCCTTATAAAATCATGTTTGGGAGGCCACCTGCCTTATTACCCAGGGTAAATTTTAAAAATATATCAGAATATAAAAATCATACTTTGTTAAACTCTTTAAAGGCCCTCCAAGTAATCCAGCAGGAGCTGCAAAATCAAGTTTGGGAGGCCAGGCTGGCCCCTCAACCTGAAAGCGGCTCCTGAAGACACCCTGGAGGACAAATGGAAGATCATCAGTCAACCAGGCAACAAAAAGCTAGGACTAAAAAGGGACAAATGATGTTTGCTGTATTGGCCTGTAATTCAACATTTGTTATGATTATTATTTTTAGGTCATTATTTTCTGAAACATTGACGATATTACCCCAAAGACAATTAGACTTTGTTGGTAATGTTTGTATTCAGCTGACACAAATCACTTAATCTGTCTGCGTTCTGTTTAAATATAGACACAAATTTCCATTATATATTAGGAAGTTGTCTCATCCTGGTGTGTACTCCCTTAAGTCTGAGACAGCCTCATACCCTGTTTAAAGACATCCCCCCCCCCCAAATCTTACATATAAAGATAGCTACAATTGGGGAACCCCCTCTTACTTTAAACCAAAAAATGCTATTAAGTTATATACACCTTGGGTGATTCTGTTAAATCATACACAATGTGCTTTATATAAAAACTGTACTACAAGATGTCTAAAATTAAAAAGATAAAAAAAATTGACTTGTTATAAAAAACAAGAGATCATATATGGTGAGGGTTATATACCCTTACCGTTAGGATGGTTTTATACATGTAAAAAAAATAACATTTAATTATATCCCTGCCTACTTGTCTAAGGCCCAGTGCTGCTTGAGTCGATTGGCCATAATATTGCCAGAGCAAACTGATTTGATAGTGTCCAACAGAATTAAATGATGGTCACCCTATACTGAACCAGGATGTGATGATGATGTAGGTCTTTTAACAGATACTGAAGTAATATCTATGATAGCATCTGTGGTTGCTCTGCCTTCCGTAGGGGTTCATCCTGAAAAGGTGGTATGAAAATTGACATGTAAGATGGTCAAAGGTTTAAATGCTACCTCATCTGCATTGGCATTAATTAATCAAAAATTACAAAACACCGACAAGCCATACTAGACAACAGGGCAGCCATAGATTACTTGCTCCTACTCCATCATCAAAAATGTAAAAAAGTAAAAAATATGTGTTGTTTTAATATGACTGACAACAGCCCAGGGATTAAAAAAAAAATAAAACAATTTTTAAAAGTTGGCAGAAAAAGTACATAATAAAAACGTAGGATGGGATTTGTTCCACTGGTTAATCCAATGGTTGCCTAACATACAATGGTTAAAACAGCTTTTTCTTGTGATCATAGTTGTGATTGTGTGCTTATTATCATGTTGCTACATGCTAAAGGTTATAACCAGGTATGTGTCCAAACAGACAATGTAAAAATCATTTTGTTAAGCCAGATGTATAAACCATTGCTTCAAAATAAAAGGAGGTTATGTAAAAATGAGAAATAGAGATGAGATGATGAATCAAAGGCTTGATTCTGTACAAAAACCAGTGGGGATTGTGAGACCAGGATAAACCCAAGAAATGCCCCCTCATGCCCCTCCCCTTATAAAATAGATGTTTTTGTAACTGCTTGTTCTGCTTCTGTAAACTTGCTTCATCACTTCTCAGAAAGAGATGGTGCCTGGTGCCTCCCTTTACTGTAAATTGCCCTAATCTTATAAGACAGCAAGATAGCTGAGTTGTGAAAAAATACTTTTGCAACTAGTCAAAAACATGTTAATCTACCCTTGAACTTCTCTTCTTAAAATAACACCTACAAAAGCTATGCTGTTATAACACTCTATATAAACTGTGCTCTTCCTGAACTCAGGGCTTCACTTCACTTAGGGAGTGGAGTCCACACATGTGAATAAACTCCTTTCAGTTTTAACTTTGTCATTTGTCCTGGTGTTTGGTGATATACTGGCTTGCTTGGTACAACACTCATGCTTCTCCTTCCCAGGGTAACTTTGCACCACATCCACTGTGGATGATCATACAGGTCAAGGACAAAGCTCAGTTTTGCCACAGAAGCAGGCATCGACCCCTTGGTTGCCAAGATAGTTCTTGTGTCTCTGTGGTTCCAGTGCCTCCCTCTTCCACTGATTTCTTTTGGTTTATAATCTCAGCCTGAAATCCCCCTTCCAAGAGCCCTTCTATGGCTCCTCTTTCCTCTAAGTGCCCCACGTCATCCATTTTTCTTTCAGAATCCTAGAGACCAGGCCCTCCTGCAGGTCCAGGCAAGGTTTGTGCTCTCACAGAGATGTTTTCTCCCTGTTTGGCTCAGGTAGAACATTTCTGATTTCTGCCAATATCTAGAAATTACCCTCCATGTGCCCTTCCCCAGCATCTTTTCATGAGTGTCTCTGGAGCCTGGCTCACTCTCTCCAGCTTCTTTCCTTCGTCTTTCCTCATTATTTCCCTCACTGTTTGAGTGAACAATTTACTTCTCTGCTCTGCACCTGACTCTTGCTCACCTGGTAGGAACAAATATTCCCTTCCTTACACATAGCCATGGTGGTATATATTGGTGAAAACCTTAGCTAAGCAATTTGGCATAATAAGTTTGTTTCACTTCTGATATTTTTTTGTCAATTTGTTTGTCTAGTTGATCTATTTGTGACAGTAGGATATCAGGGTTCCCCATTACAATGTATTAGTACCTATTTGATTTTTTCATGTCCATTAATAATTCTTTGGATCCCTTCAGATTGCCTTCTAAGGTTTGGCCACACCAGCAAACTGAAAGAGATTTTTATGTAAATAAAAAATTTATATTAACATTACTCATCTGTATAACTATTTTAGAAACAGATTTGTTCCTTGTATGTCCACTAGTAGCAATATGATGTTTATGGTGTAATCCAGTCTTTCATGGGTGGAAATTATCATAAATATTATGCTTGTTTTCATACTGAATATCAAGCTTCCTTTAGTACAAAACTTTGCTTTTGAAAAATAACCAAACCTCATTTCTGTAGTGTTCAGTGATTACCTGAAGTGATTTTTCTTTTATCTCCTAGA